CATTTCTCTATACTTTAGGTCAAGCTGTGTTTGTTCTAAAACAAACAAACGCAAAAAATGAATTTTCATGGTTATACAGGAAGGCGCAACACTATCAAACTATTTGCGGGCGTATTCAACGAGTAAATCCCTCAAAATTTACCAATTTCACAGATGTGAGATTGGCACCCCAATTCCCACAAACTTTTTTTTTTCATTTGAACTATAATAAGAAAACGCGCCGAAGGAACGGTCATATTCCTATTTTGCAGGTTAACGTTCGACAGTGACGAAGGAAAATTAGTATTCCAAATCCTTTAACAAATCGAATTTCTTCTACAAAAAGCAGGAATTTGTGTTTTCTCTTTCTATTTTTTAGAATAATAAAAAGAAGAGCTTCCGATTATGACTCAGGGGCGGATCCAGACCTCCATTTTAGGGGGGGCGGTTCCTCGGTGTAAAACGGCGGGGGGGGGGGGGGGTGGAGTGTTTATATTTCTTGTGGAGTTATCGTTTTTACTGAACTCGGATAACATAATATAGATATTGAAAGCTTTTGTATCGGTTTACCTGTCGGAGATAAACTCTTTGAATTAAAACCTTTCGGGTGACCACGCTAGAGGTAAGTATCTCGAAAATTGTGGTGATACTATCCTTTCTGAAACATGGGTTTCAGACCGACACTACGTGAGCAGTCGATTTAGGGCAGCTTAAAGACATTGCCTTGGCAGACATTCTGGTTGGAGCTAGTGCTCAACTGCTGCGGCAACGGGAAGAGCGGCTGAAATCAGCGGAGCGAGTACGTTGCAAACAAGCGACAAAAATGGCCCGGCGGCTTCGACGCTGCTCGCGGCGTCAAAACACTGTTGACGCAGCGAGCGAAACGAACGCTGCCATGCAAGTTCGTCGGTTGTTCGCCGTATATATTTGGAATGTCCAGAGCGCAGAATTCTGGAAGCATAATGTTATAGTTCAAAGTTATAGTTCGGCAACTATAACTTTTGAACTTAGACAAGACCTTAAACCAGCAATGGATCCTTCCAAATTATATTCAATTGCACTTCGCCTGGATATTTTCTGTATCAAAGCAACACTTACTTGTTTCTGGGTAGTTAGCTCATTCGTCAGGGTCGAGAGGACAGGTGCAGAGATTTGACAGGGCAGAGCGGTTGTAAGGTCGGCGAATCTCAACTGGGTTAAAGGCCGATCACGACTAAAGCATGGATGTTTGGGAGTCGGTGTTCACTCGAACGGGCACAGGCACTGTCTATTTAATTTATGTATACACGTTTGCAAGTCCAGTCTCAAGGATCCGCCATCTTCCTCAGTGGGGTGCGCTCTTGGGCGCGGTCATAATCTGATTACGACGCCTTAGCAAGGCTTCGTAATCGGATTATGACTCGGCCAAGCGCACCCCAGTCAAGCAAGATGGCAGCGCCCTGAAGCCGGACTTGCAAACGTGTATAGTCGCATCTTTGAAAGGGCTCGTTTTTCCAAAGTCCGTTCGACACACACATATTCGCTCCTGCAAAGCCGCGCGAAAGCTCTGCCGTCAATCCACAGAAGCCGCGTTTAACTGGAAAAGACGGCGCCAAGGGGAGACAAGGGGTAGCGGGCGCCTTCCCTAAAATATGTCCCGCCACCCTAAGTTGAAACGGCATTGTATACAAATAAATGCCTACGGCGTCGGCTTGAGGACCCCGTGTAAGCAGCCTCCAGCCTTTAGAGTGCTCGTACCGTTTATCTTTCATTAGCTTCCCGCCACGAGAAGTCGTACCGCAGGCAGTATAGGAACCGTGCGCATCTAATTCAAGCCCCGACCAGGGCGCCCCTAGCGGCAAACGGGTCCATCGCATCGGGGAGCTTCTGCCAGTCGCTGCGTTGGTTGTGCGTTGTGGTGGGTTAGCGTTGTAATTTCTGAGATGGTTATTCCGCACCAAGAAAGTCGCAACAATTGCTGCGTGGTCGGCTGCAACAGTACGTCGAAGATCGCACACGGCACGACGTACTACATCGCCCCTTCGAAGCTGTACGGCCGTACGAGGCGGAGTACTGCGCGACCTGCAGGTGCGACTTGTGCGTCCATACAGGTTAGTGGCGTTTCTTACCTTTCTGTTCGCGCTTTGTTTAAGGTGCTGACGAATAATACAATCAACTTCTTTCTATTCTAGCGACGATGGAACAGCATCGGCACCGACGGCATACTCTAAAGTATGCGGCAAATACTTCACCGGAATCGAGAAGCGGAGTGCGGTCGCCCACCTAAGCCTACACTTGCATGTTTCCATCAGCCTACAGGAAGATAGTAGTGGGAATCGCGGAACGGCGCGAAAAGAAATCGCCCAGTTATTGTCAAGCTGATTCAGAAATAAACGTACATGATTACCACAGTCCACTCAACGCCAACTACATTTTTTGCGGGCGCGCTTAATTTTGTTAGCGGAGTACGGCGCTCCGTGACATCCACTTGTCCGTCGAAACGGACCTCCTTCACGTCGTACACGCCGCCAGATTCACGAAGGAGTTTTCCGTACTTTATATTGGTACTATGGAAAAAGCTTTCTAGATTCGTAACCGCCTTAAACCCCGTCGTAATCACCCCGGGAACACTGTCCACTGTGCTGCTCATCGCCACTGCTTCCCCCCGATGATTCTGCACCGGCTACCGAAGAAGTTTTCCGGATTCGTTATCGCCCTCTGTCCTCTGTGGTGTTTGTTGCTATTACTTCGCGATGATTCTGCGCCGACGGCACCGGCTTCCGAAGGAACTTTCCGAATTCGTAACTGCCTTAAATTCCTTCGTAATCACGACGGGGATACTGTCTGCCGTGCTGTTCGTCGCCATTGCTCCCCGTTGCTCCTGCGGCGGCTACCGCTAGGTCGCGGCGAACAATAGGCGACCGCCGCGACACGGCCGGCATGCTCGCTTCCTATGAAGCCCATTAGAGGAAACATCTCCCCCTTCTGGCGCTCGTCGGCTTCTTTCTGTATTCCGCGCTGCGGCGCTGATCCCCACTGAGGAATGGAGGCGAGGACGAAAGCGGGCTTATGTTTAAGGCAAGGTCGTGGGGAAGTCCGGAGCGTCTTCAGGAGAAGCTCAGACCCAGACTACACTGTACACAGAGCATTTGCTTCCTCTCTCAGTTGAGAAGAAAAGCAATTGGTCACCTGGTTGTACAAGCTGCACCCCCCCCCCCCTCCCCTGGAACGTCTCCTCCCGGTACGTCCCCTCCGAACTTCCCTTGGCAATGAGCACACCCTGCCATTAAGATACCTTTAGTGAGCCCGTGGGCGACAGCATCTCAAAGCAAGCCAAAAAAGACATGCCAAAAGACAAGCCCAGAACCACGAAGAAACCATCAAACGAAAAGTGATGAAAAGGCGGCCGCTAGAGAGGAAGGATAATCCGCTACCCTTGCTTGGCGTCTGCGTTTGGGAGCTTTCAGGGCACAAATTTTTCGCAGACAACCCCCAAAAAGAGAGAGGGAGACAGGGAGAGAGAGAGAGAGAAAGGGGACTAGATATGTTGAAGGTATTTTCCCCCCGTGCTCGACGTGCTGGCGTTGTTTGGAAGTGTGCCTGCAGTCGAGGACCCTGATATTTGGTGCGCCTCCCCACTGTCTCTCCACTTCGAAACTCCTGGCGCCGTCCCTGTCGGGAAAACGTACCGTGACCTTGACGGAGATGAACCCCACTTTGGAAGCGCCCAGCAGGCGCGTCCACCCACCGCTGTTTTAATCTTTTGTTTCTCGCGCCGATTGCCTACGTTTTTTCTTCGAGCTGACGAAGAACCCCGGGGGGGGGGGGGGGGCGGTCGCCCCCCCCCCCCCCTCTTAAATGAAAACTCGTACAAATAGAAACTTGCCCAGATACTCATCAGTGGACACAAGGACCAGCTATGTTCCTCTTCGAAACGAAATGTCGACAGGCGTGTCAACAGATTACATTAAAAACTGGCTAAAGTCGGGTTCACACTGCTCGCGCATCATACAAGAGACACGGACTTTCTCTGCGGACACGTCTAAAGAATGTTCGAATTAAGCGAATGTTCGAATTAAGCGGGTTTGCTTCATACGTATGTTTGCTTCGAACATGTCTACAGAGAGTTTTTGTATAATCATTGTAACAGGACAGTTATACGAGGAAGAAAGACGCCTCGGACAGCGTCTGCACTCTCTCTTTTGTATGATGTGTGCAGCGGCAGTAAAACTGTCGATACATCATGCAAAAGACAGTATGAAGACACTGTCTTGAGGCGTCATACAAGAGAAACTTCGTGTCTCTTGTATGACGTACGAGCGGTGCGAATGCGGCCTTAAGGAGTTTGTTTCGAGGGCCTTTTTTGAGTGCGCGTGAAACGGGGGTTTGGCACACAAGGATCTCTTTTTTAAAAGCAGCCTCGAGCAACACTGGAAGGTGCACCATTTCTTGGGCACAAAGCGTGTGTGATCGAAGCCAAGTCTTCGCCGAACGCTGACGTCACACTCGTTCTCGATACGAGCCGAGCCCGGGTTCACGCCGAACGCTGTCCCAGCCCTCAAGTGTAATGCATTCTCAAAGTGTGTGTCCAAATAACGGTGGACTTGTATACTTTGCGCGGGAGCGACTACTAGGTGACGCGCCCTTTTCGAAAAGGGTCTATTCAGTAGACACGGGGTTCTGATGTGCACCCTAAGAAACCAATGCGGAGCGCAAGTTCGTCTGCTACTTTTGCAGGGGCTGTGGTGACGTCAGAACGCCAAGCTCTGATTGGCTCCGATTGAAGAATAGTGGGTAGACCTCAAAGTAACCTGCTTTGATGTCTACCCACTATCCTACTATCAGGGACAATCAAAGCTCGGCGTTCTGTCGTCATCACAACCCCTGCAAAAGTAGCAGACGAACCTGCGCCCCGCATACTGTTTGCCAAGAACAGTCAATCGAATATTTAGAGACCTAAGCCTTTCGTCGGAGTTTAGAAAAGATGCGACAGATGAACGTAGAGGAGACGCGATCTCAGAGAGCAGGAAGGACATTCTCACTTGGCGTATGCCTTCTCGAGGAGCGCCGCCCAGAAGACGTTGCCCTGTCCGGACTGCACGAAGACGAGTCTCTGGTTGACCGTGGGCAGCCGGTCGTCGATGAGGACCTCCTTCCAGTCGCCGCACCACCACAGGCGAAACCGGAAGGCGCCGTCATAGTGGTCTGTGTCCGCGAAGCCCTGGTCGGCCGGAACCACCCGGTAGAAGAGACCTCGGCACGTGGCCAGGACCCCGAGGCAGGACACGAACCAGCGGTCTCCTGAGGGCGAACGAAAGAAGAGGGGGTTTTGTTGTCGAGACCACCCACAGATTGGATATACGAACTCTAAGGAATCTGGAGTGTTTACTTTTACGTAGAGGTTTTGGGAGAGCCAGTTGTTTTTACCTAAAGGCATATTGTGCTCACGTCATGTTTATTGTCACAAAGCTTACTGGTTTTGGTGTTGTTGTTTTTTTTAGGTCTAAACACATCTGCAGTTTGGTAATTCGCCCACCTTCCTCCTTAGGCTGCAGCGAGTGGTTCTCCCAAATGCTTTGCGGAAAAACAGAACCCACTAGATTGTTTTAGTTCCTTAGTGTGTATAGAACGACGCACGGCTCTGGCGTCACATCACAGCGGCGGCGCTGCTGTTGGCGCATGCGCACAGGCTTTACTTCGAGCGGATCTGTTTATGTGCACACGCACTGCACACGTGCGCCACTTGGTGTGGGCCAGTCTTGTGCACGTCACACTAAAAAAAAGCAACCAAGTACAATTAATCTAGGTTAAAAAGTATTCAATTAGATTACTGGATCGAAAAGTAATTGAGCCATTACATAAAAACGTAACCGTCACTTCTCTGATTACTTTAGATTTTCAAAGCGACATTTTTCTGCCGGTTTGAAGACGGGTCTTTCGTATCGCTCAGTAGGGAGTTTTAGGGAACCGTATTTGCACTTGCGATACGGTGCGATGGGTCCTCCGGTACGCACTGCGCATGTGCGAGTCATCTGCAATAGCGCATGCGCAGTTCGTACCGGAAAGCCCATCGGTACCGTATCCGGTGTGCAAAAGCGGATCCCTAAAACTCTCTATTCATGGATTAGAATTGCCGAACTATAAACAACGTATCTTTTTTTAATCCACCAATATCGGTATGCGTAAACAGTAACGAGATGCCGAGGTACAAAAGCGCGAGACTTGCGGCGATCGGAAATCGAGAATACGACACGGCGGTCTTATGAAACGTCAATGCCGTTTTACTCCGGCCTAAGTAAAACAACAAATAAGGATCTCTGTGGCTCAATTAAGCGCGGGTAATGCGACTCTACAGACGTCTCATGAGTAACGTAGGAGACCGAAGTTAGGTTTGAACGAAATTACTGGGAGTTTTGGGGATACCGAGCGTGGCAGCCCGTGCTTGTCAATCCCAACAATGCGGGTTCACATCGGCCGAGTCGTGAATTCATTGTCATTAGTATCTATGAGAGTCAGGCGATCATTTTCGACGAGGAGCATCACCGCGAGACTGGATAAGCGGATCTGTGTGACAATACATATTTCATTAGAAATTTTCGCTAGTGAGCAAAATTAATTCAAAAGTCCAATTAGTCGATAGTAGTTTATAGAGCAGGAGGTTAGTCTGGCAGAACATGGCGACATTGTTACCCACTGTAGATGAGCAATTCTGCCAGTGCAGTACAACCGCTAGCCTGGAGTCTTTAACGTGCACCGCGCAGTAGTGATACATGACCGCACGCCGGTACGATGTTCATCCAGACAGAAACGGGCAGGGGTCGGGATTGAACCTGGGATCCCTGGGTTCTACAGCGCGAGCTTTCGCTCCACGTGCTCCTAGCTGGTGCGCTCTAACCACGGTGTGGCTCTAACCCACTTGGCCAACGATCCCCCCCAAAATTAAGTGCATCTGCTCGCGGGTTGCTCCTTGCTTCTTCCTCGTCACGTGAGTCGCGATTTCGGTTGAACAGCCCTTCTCGCCATACCTTTAAGCTAATACGTTACCACAACAAACCATTTGAATAAAGTGGAACGTAATAAATATTTTGTCATATTTGTGTATCACTTATAATCTATCGTTCATAGGAGAAAAAAATTGTTTTTCCTATCTACACAGATTTCGCTATGCCTTGGTTCTACGTAATATCTGATCAACGTAAAAATAAACACAACTGAATCGAGCGCAGGCGAACATAATAAATAAAAGAAATCACACAAGTACACGACTCACGCAATCGGAAAGGAGGAAACGATTAAATCGGCGCCACTCTCCCTACTGGTCATTAATCGGCATGCGAAATAGACCCCAGTTGCTATCTCGGGCCGATTTCGCCCCGACTCTGTCGCACGCTTTCCCATGTGAAAAGCCTATATACGATAGCTTCTGCACCTCAAGTGTCGGCTGCAATCTATTTTTGAGGGTTCATCGAACTCTCTCAAAAAGAAAAAGCTCAGCCCGGTTAGCTCGAGGGAGGCTTGGCGGGGAGCCACGAGAAGAAATATCGAAGGGATTTATCGAGGTACCGCTATCGGCGGGAACGAACCGCTTAAATGCCGCGCCCCGTGATTGCGCGGGGAAGGAGCGTTCTTGCAGCGTCGACCCAGATAGCGCAAAGACTCCTCCGGCGTTCCCGGCGTGTCCGCGCGTCGCATCGAGTCAATGAGGAATCCAACTTCGTCTGCTTCTTGCACGGGGGTTGCAGTGATGTCAGAACGCCGAGCTCTTATTGGCTGATTGGACAAGACAAAACAACAGCCTTTCAATCAAAACCAATCAGAGTTCGGCATCGTAGTGACGTCACCACAACTCCCACGCGAAAAGCAAACGACCCACTATTATTTTTTTTTTTCAAACAGCCAATAAGAGTTAGGCGTTCTGACATCATCGGAATATTGTGCAAGAGCCAGGCGTATTTGCACTCCACATATACCTGCATTATAGATCGAAGTTTGTGGGGAAAAGAGTTGAGAGATAAAGTTACGTTTCGACGCGGTGATTTTGCATTTGTTTGAAATGGCCCAGTCCTTATGAGCAAATCGAAACGGTAATTTTTTTACACGAGTGATAGCATAAGTTAGATAAGGTTAGGTTACGTTAGGTCGGGAAACGGGAATAAGAGTGCAGGGGGGGGGGGGGGGAGAGAAAGAGAGATAACGTATAGGGTTACGCCGGCTACGTCAGGTTATGTCAGGTTTGGTTGCGCCATGCTCGGTTAGGTTAGATCGAGCTTGGCTAAATCAAGTTCGGATGTTTAATGTTAATTTAGGTTAGGCTGGGTTATGTCAGGTTAGGTTGCACTTGAGTGTAAGTGGCACACCACATTGATGTATTACCAGACTTAATGTGCTAATACATTATGCAAATGACAGTTTGTAGTCACTATATGAGGTGTGTTTCCCCCTTGTAAGATGGTACTTCCAGATCCGTCGTATAACACAACTGTCTGTAAACATGACGGAAGCAAAGGAGGCCATGACGAAGCCTACACATGTTTGAAGCACAGATGTTTCGAACATGCCATCATGTCGTTGGTGTGATGTACGGGGAGGGTGACTCCACGCGCCTTCAGACTCAGCCGTTGTCTTCGCGTCAATAGACGAAGCTCCACCCGGCTCCGCTCGCAATCAGGAAAAAAAGCGGAGCAACGGCGTTATAGTGGGTGAGTCGCAAGTCGCGTAATTTCCCTCGCTTCTCCGTATGCTTTGCTTATTCCTTCCCTGACTGAGGTACGTAATTAAGGGTAATTTTCGGGCTGCTTCTAGTTCAGTCGGAGGAGCGCGGCTGGGGCCTCTCCGTGGACGCCCAACGGTTTGCGGCGGAGTTTAGTGGATCAGCCCGTTTCTGCTCGTACGAGCGTGGAATTCGCGGCGCGCTACAATTTCGTCGGGTTATTTCGGTAGCCGCTAGCGGTCGACGAACGATTCGAAAGATAGAAAAATGGGCGAAGTGGTCGCAGTTGTATTTGATGGTGCGTATTTAATCGCTCGTGATCGGATTGCCGTACTGGGCACTTTGCATTGTGGACGGCTCCCCTGATTTCTTTGCGCAATTATTGCCGTAACTGCTGCGTGGCTTTTTAAGTAGAGAAAAAACGCGATAAGAAGAAGGATTTTGAATCAGATTTCTGGGCGGGCTTTCTATGGGGTTCTTAGTTTATATAAAACATACAAATACACTAAAGAGACACCTAAGCACTTCTTATGAGTTGTGAATGCGAAAGCATGAATATCGTTCTTTCGCCCCCTTAGTTCGTCTGCGGCGTGCTGGCGTGGACGTCCACGTTTCGCTATGGCGGAAGTCCCGGCCGACGGCCGAGCGCCCGCTCTCGTGAAGGGGCCGCGCCGCGCTGAGCTCGGCCGGGCAGCCTCTCCGGAGTTTGCCCGTGCGGGCTCTTTGGCAAGCGGCTCCCTCTTCCCGGCGGCCCGCGCGGCAACCAATGCCAGCCTCGTTCCTTGAAACTATGACTCGCGCCAGCCAAGGGGAGCCTATCCATCAGAGCGCTGCTACGGACGACAGGCGTGGCTCCATTGGGACAGGGGAGTTTAGGTGCCGTTCGGCACGGCTTCAAGAGCTCAAAGTGCCGGTTCGCTCCATGAGACAGTTAGTGCTTTCGTATTAATAATTCGGTACCGTGCATATTTAGAGAGCTAGCGGTACAGTCAGCCCCTATGGGGGTTATGGTGTCTCCGCATGTAGGTGAGAAATTTAGCCAGAGTAGTTCACTGCTAGCCTGGGGTCCTCGAGGTGCTTCACACAAAAGCGATTACACGCCAGCACGCCGGAACAATAGCAGAACATAGCCAATCATTCCGCAGAGTGTAATGATTGGTTATATGAGGGTTCCGCGCTGCGTCCCTATTAACATGACGTGTACGTTCTGCGTGCGCAGAATTCTTGCACGCTACCCTTTTCGAATACAAGCACATCGTGAACTTTGTCAGTCGCACGCACGCAACCAATCATTTTGGAAATCGCATTGATTGGCTATAGGCGGGTTCCGTGCTGCGACACCGCAGCACGGCGTGTATACGTTACCATACCAGCCGCCTCCAAAACCGTGGCGCTTCGAACGGCAAACCTTTTGCGCAGGATCGTTGCGCATTCAGTATGCGAGATCGGTATAGTCGGTGACAGAAAACGTACAAAGATGATTGCCGTGACAATGCACTTTTGACGTTGTTTGATTGGCTCTGTCATGTCCTGGCGGCATCCGCAGTTGGACCTGGCGTGAAATGAACTGCACTAACGTTGCACGGATCTA